CATGGACAAAGTGAATAGCACTTCAAAATCTACTGGCGGAAATTCGCAGTCGAGGGAAATAACAGGTATTGCCATTAGACGGAATAAAACTTTTTTTCTCCATACTGTGAATCACACAATTTTGAAAAATTTTATAATTCTTCTTAGACGCAATGAAGTGTAAATTTGGAAACATTACCATGAATATTGGTGACGAGTTGAGTCAGAAGGAGAATGACAACGTCAAATGTGTGTGCTTGATTTTCTGTTCAAACGTACAAAAATTTCGTTTAGTTAATTTTTTTTAACGGATATTTGCACTTTCAAGCCTAAGAAGATCTTAAATTTTTGCAAAAAACTGAAATAAAGTCTACTTATAATAGAATTATTTTTTTAGAAGTTCTTTTGATAAATTAACAAAAACACTGGATGGCTAAATTGTAAAAATTTTAGTATTCATGAGTAAGCCAAGCTTCTCCCTGCATTCCCGTTGATTATGAGTTTTTTTCATAACTTTACTTCGACTTTTGATGACTTGTTTTCAACTGTATGGGTGTCGAAACAGTGATACAACACCAAATATTTTTTTTGTAAGAAATCCGCAGAGTAAGTATTCTATTTTTGACAGTTATATATATTCTTATGATAATTTTTTTTAGATTTTAATCTTTAAAGCATATTATTATAGGCTGTTACAACAATTATGAGATTATACTTAAGTTGTTTCTGGGTTATAAAAAGCTAGCTAAAAAATATATTTTTCAATCAAAAAAATTAAAACGAAAATAAGTAAAAAATATAATTATGTAAGTGGTATGCCAAAATTTTATTTCGAAACTATTATAGGTAAAAATAAAAAATGTCCAGTTCTGAATCGTCAAAATATACATCTAAAGTCCCCTTTGTACAATAGAGATACACGCATAGACTAAGTCATATATAATCGCACAGACAACAGATGGATACTATTTGTAAATATTATCTTTCTAAATTTTTCACCACCAAATGCATTTCTAAAACTTTTTTATGAAATTATTTTTCAAATCCTCATAAAGCATCTCTTACAAGGAAATAAATGTGGCCTTGATAATACCATCTGCACGAAACGTTGAATTAATCTCATTGCATTATTTAATCATAATAAAATTCTTAAATTAATACAGCTTGTAAAAAATTCAATTACAAAGCAAACATTGCTCCCCGGATGAATAATCTGTACAGCAGTATTTTAATTAAAAACATTAACAGTCCACACCTATCACTGTGTCTTTACAGCATAACAATCAGCAGTATGCCAAAAAAAAAAAAAAAAAGCGGAAACTGATTAGCCACATGATGACCTCAAAGCGACAGAAGAGATCTCAAGGAGCCAATACGCGTCCTCTCCCACCTCCTGTCTGAATAAACACAGCTCACTTTTTCATATATAAGCGAGGCACAACGAGCCGCACAAGACTCATCGTATACGTGCATCAAGTCATTTATACATCCTCTGTCTTGTCGCTACAAACCAGGAGTATCCGCAAGTTGATTTTAATACTTGTGAAACGAAATGTCGTGTCCGAGAAATCAGGCCCTCTTCGGTGGCCTTCTGTGCTTTTTCATGGTTGTGCTAACTGTTTCTTCACAAGGTAGATAAACATCTTCAGTAATTTTTTTATTGTTTCAATGCCAACAATTTTTAGTTTGATTCTACGTATTTTTATTTCATTACATTAGAAGCATTAGTGGTCTCGTCAAGTAGAGCGTAACTGTTAGTTTTTTTTCTTTTGGTTTATAGTTTATATATTATGAGAGTTGTGTCAACTAGTGCATGTTAAGGAAGCATTTAAAATGTGAATAATCATTAAGAAGTTTCTTTTTTGTATAAAAAATCAAAGTGACCTTGTTTTCCAATGCAGTTGATTTCAATTATAATCGTTCCAGTTTATCGATTATGTAACTTTTTAAAGTTTTTATTTTAAACAATTTTGTATTTATCACGCTTGCAAATGATAAAACGAAATTTATTCGCCTTCATTACGTAACGTTCGACAAATTTTCTGAAATCATTTATTTCGGCATTTGTTTTTCAATTTTTGTATGAATTATCTTTAAAAGTGTTTATACAACATTATAAACTCTCTTACCACATCTATGTTTGCGTTAGTTATGCTGGACATGGGAATCGTGATTGAATAAAATAAATTACAGTTTAAAGTAAAAATTAACAATATTCTGAAATTTTACTTTCTTTTATTAGGTTGTGATAAAAGTAAGTGTAAAGGCCCCATAAGATATTACGAGGAACTTGGATGCAAACCAAATATCAAAGACGGCGAATGCTGTGCAAGCAGTTACGACTGTACTCATTTAAAAAACAGATCGGCACACAAGTGCTACGTGAATGGTCAGGAATATAATATCGGAGAATCGCTGCGGAATGAGGACCGATCAGGACCCTGTGACGTAGCATGTTTCTGTAACTTTGGATACGATAAAGCGTAATTATTGATGATCAAATCATTTTCTGTTGGGAATATTTTTTAAGCAATACTATTGACTTTTAGAAACAAATTTCTGTTTGAAACAAATAACTTTTAAAAATCTTATATCTGTGTACCCCTTGCAACTTAAAGTCACATGTCGATACGTGCAGATTAAGAAAATTTGTTTCTGAATTCATTAATATATTATAAAATGAATACTTATAATATCTGGATATAACTAAATTTATAGCATAAATGATGAGTACTATACATTTTAGTGCCGAGTTCACATGTGCCCAGATTGATTGTCCACGTATTCCTGTGCATCAGGGATGCTTCCTTAGACGTCATTTGGACTCTTGCTGTAATGAAGAAGAAGTTTGTCGTAAGTAGAACTTGTATTATAGTTAGGTATTTATCTAGTTATCGAATGAAGTCTGTGATGAAATTTAATAAACGAAATTTTTTACATTTTTAGCAAAGCAGAACGAGAAAATAGAAGAGTGTAGTTTCAATGGGACCACGTACAAACACGGAGAAATATTTTATCCGAATGAGCGTAAAATGTGCCAATGTTCAAAATCATCGAATGATGGTAAATTTTTATAATTTGATTAATCATTCAAAATATTTTATAGCAATTCATATACAATTACACGTACACATTAAGATGTCAGTTATTTATTAAATTAAATAAAATTTCTTCTGTGCAGTCAAAAATCAAGATTTTTGTCTCAAATCGTAAAATTCTAAAAAATAATAGTAGTTTTCGGATAAGTGCCATCGTCTCCGGGGCTATTTTTCTGCCCAAGGGACTTGCGAAGCAGGGCCCGAGGGGCGTAAGGTAGCCACGGAGCAATGGCGCTTATCCGACGAAAACTACTATTTTTGTCTTTTAATCACATTTCATTAATTATGCACTATTTTTCAAATTTTTAGTCTGAAGAAATCATTTAGATATTGAAAAAAATAATTTACCATCAGTTTTTTTTTTTTAAACTTAATCTTTCTATTTTCGAATCTGTCAGATAAAAAATCTCAATTTTTTATAAAAAAAAAAAAAGCAGTTAAAGGGTTAAAATTAAATAATTTACTTGAGAAAACAGCAGATATTCTAATACTTTTTTATACTTATTTTTATAGATAAAAAAATGGAAGTAGTCTGCAGAACACTTAGTTGTGGAATTGAATTGAGACGGTCGACCGAGCTTCGTGAAAATTGTCCACCTGTATTCCTCCCACATCAATTGCCATCTCAATCCTGCAGCTATGAATACAAATGTCGTGAGTACAGAGGATACAATACGATGGGCACATTTTAATAGTGATCTGTAAATAATACGATTTTTTCTAATAAACCAACATTTCTTATTTTAGAGGAAGACATGGACAAAGTGAAAAGCACTTCAAAATCTACTGGCGGAAATTCGCAGTCGAGGGAAATAACAGGTATTGCCATTAGACGGAATAAAACTTTTTTTCTCCATACTGTGAATCACACAATTTTGAAAAATTTTATAATTCTTCTTAGACGCAATGAAGTGTAAATTTGGAAACATTACCATGAATATTGGTGACGAGTTGAGTCAGAAGGAGAATGACAACGTCAAATGTGTGTGCGAAGTGCCCCCAATGCCTACATGCACGAAAAATTAAGGCCAAAAACCGACGTGGAGTCAACTTCCAACACTTTTATACAGTGTACAATAATTTTTTTTCTTAAATATCAATTATTATGACGGAAATACTTACTAAAGGATCCTGTGATATTTTTGCAAAACGCATCTAAAAACATCCGTGTAAACATTGAAGTATCTCTTAAAAAAAATATGCTAGTTAAAAAATTGTTTGTTTTAGCGATTACGAAGGTAAAATTTAAATACCTCATGAAATTTTGTAAGTCGTGAAGTATTTATGAAAATCATGAAAATTTTATTTCATTTTCATAGAAAAACCTTTAGTTAACGGGTAAAGACNTAGCTCCTGTAATTTATCAGTTCCTTCGAAATATTTATCAATTATGTTTTTATATGCAATCCCACTTTGACTTAGTTTTTTTATAAGGGAAGCTGATATCACAGATTTCATGGGCGCATAGCTTGGTTTCAATTGTTTTTCATTCGTAGACATGTATATTTTTTGAAGTACGTCTTTAACGGTTAATGTACTATTCAAAATATCTGACCAACAAATATACTGAGCTGTCAACTTTTCCAAAATAACAATATCAACAGCAGCATCATGCGCATTTTCAGTTGACAGCTGCAATGAATTATTACCGAGATATGATAACTTATGACACTGAATATCTGGAAATTGTTTTCGAAACAAAGCCAATGTATCGACAAATCCAAGAATTATATCTTTGAAAGACTGTAACATAGATGAACTTTCAACTAATCGAATGAAGTGGTTGGAATCGAATTCGCAGTTGTGTGCAATCAAAACAACTTTTTTATTGAAACTCTTTAAAAATTCTAATATTTTAGTAACAGCAACTCTCCGAGAAACTGTTGGTACTTGTGTACCATGTAAAAATAGTTGCCTACCACTTTTTTTCAAGCCTGTGACTGCACTTGCCTTAGCATCTATATTTTTACATGGTGTAATATACACGGACAAAAAACTTTTTTCGCTTTTCAAAGCGACTTGAAAAACATCTTTGTCGAAAGAAAACCCTCCCGTTTCAATATAAAAAAAAATGTATGCAACATCTTTAGTATTGTAAATTAAATCACAATCAACTTCTTTAATTAGATTTTCAGGCTGAACAGAAATATCTAACAACGTCATGTTGGAACTGTACGTATTTTTTGCCTGCCTTTCTTTTTGATTTTGTAGTTGCTCTTTTTTAATACTGTTGAATTTTCTCAAAGTCTTAAAATGAGGTGTACTCGCTACTGTCAGTCTTTTGATTGCCTTCTTTTTGGCGTAGTTACAATAGTGAACCAGTTTCTTCCGACTCGTTAAATTCAATTTCTCAAATACTTTTAAAATATAATCACTGCCTAATTTTTTGTGCGCTACTGCACAAGCATACCTGTAGTCTGCAGACTCACTAGTGCTAAATGAATAAGATTTTGGACAATAACTTGCCATGGTATTATTTAAACTTTCATTAGCTTGTGATGAACCAGCAAGAACGAATTTATGCACGTTGCTAGCTAAATCAGAAAAAAAATTTCTCATGTGTTCGAAAAGAGTTGGATTAGTCATGTGACGACTATTGTCATAGTTTTCTTTTTCAATTTTATATTTACAATAACTGCCACAATTGTCGTGAATGTCAAAAACATGATAAGCTAAATTTTTTAAATCTTCCTCTATTTTTTGTTTGTTGTTTTTGTTTTTTTTAATGACTGTTGCGAAAGTGTTCTTCAAGTAAGCTATAATATCATGGGATAACTCTTTATCAACGTCAATATTTTTATTGTCTCTCAACTTGTATAAGAAATTGCCTACTCCTTTCTTACTATGATTGATGTCGGACTGCTTGACTATCGTATAATCAACCAATTCCTGTATAGCATGAATACTGGAGCTGTCATTGTCTCCAATGAATACTCCTACTTGAGCGTTCAAATCTTTAAGAATTTTGCTATTCACGATCAAGTCAACTGCCCCTTCGGCCTCCATGGATTTGGCAGTGCCATGGTGATTCAATCGACAGTCGTGGGCCTTCTTTGTTTTCGTTTTTAAATTAATTTCACAAATGCGGCATTTCCTGTTTTTAGTGCAGAAATCGAGAACTTTGCCAGTGTTGTAGCCAATTATGCTACCAAACCCGTTCAAGCTATCATATTTATATCCTGTAGATCTTTGACTCCAACCCATGTCGTAACTTACCAACAGCCTAGTGATTTTTCGGGGGGGTTCTT